AAGGCTGTCTCATCAATTGCCCCGTGACAAGCTCCTCACCCCATATGCCAGAAGCCAGATGTTTATTGCTGCAAGGAGATATTCGTGTCACACCTGCCAGATCTTGAAGGACAAAAAAAAAAAAAAAAAAAAAAGATTATCAAAAAAACAACCCACCACAAAGATATCTTTACTTTGCACTGCAGAAATTGCCCTATGAAAGGCAGCCTTAGCCCAATTTTTTAGACACACCTTAAAACTTACCACTCCAAATGCAGGCAGAAGACAGCCCCCCAAAGTGGTTTTAAGCATCTTTCTCGCTACTATTTGTGCTCCCCAAATAAACCTCTACCTCTGGTTTGCAGCAGGTGAGACCCCAGGACATGTTCACTCACCTTCTGGGGAGGTGGAGGGAGAAAAAGAGCAAGTTAGGAAGGGAAGCAGCTTTTTCTCCCTGCCTTGGAAGCAGGACACTCACCCGCAGGTCCGACGCTGCCTGCCCCGCTGGGCCGGCTTTGTCTGAGCAGTTCTGCAGCTTGTACATCCAGTAGTGCTTTGCCGTGATGAAAAAATTCCAGGGCAGGAGGGACCCGATGCCCAGTAGGAAGAAGATAACGTAGGCCCCATGGAAGTGGTCGCTTGGCTTGGGCTGGCTGTACCTGTTCCCCAGGGGCTCCTCGATCAGGGGCTCCTGGTCTGGGGGGACGCTGCCGGCTGCCGGGTGCATTGTGCTGGCACACTGCAAAAACAACCACCCACGAGGGTGTGATCACAGCAGGGTTACAAACCGCTGCCCACAGGCTGCTGTGTGTGGGCTCCATCCTCCTCTGGCCCCAGCAAATCATGGGATCACAGAGTGGTTTGGGTTGGATGGGATTTGGAAGGTCATCTCATTCCAAAGCCCCTGCCACAGGCAGGGACACCTTCCACTAGACCAGGTTGCTCCAACCTGGCCTTGGACACTTCCAGGGATGGGGCAGCCACGGCTCCTCTGTGCAACCTGTGCCAGGGCCTGAGCACCCCAGTGCTGCATGAGTGAGCTGAACTGGCTCGGCATGGGGATGGAAAGACTTGGAAAAAGCAGCACCCACATTTCCGCCCATAATTAATAATTAACCCGTGCCCTCGGCCTTGCAGGAGCAGGAAACCTCAGCGAGCTCATGAGAGGCTCCAAAAAAACCAACAGCCGGCGAACCAACAGCGCCGCGGGGCTCCGCAGAGCAAGGTGTAAACTCGTAGTAACACCGCCGGGCTTTCCGAAACGACCTGTAAACTACTACGGCATCACCCGGGCTGTGCAGGGCGGCTCGTAAACTAAACGCGACGTCAGCCGGGCTGAGCGAAATGACTCATAAAGACACAACAACGTCACCCGGCTCTGGAAGAGGGCCCGGGAAGGCAGCAGGAGGCTTGGCAGGGGCAGCGGGACCCACCGAGCGATCGGCACCGACCCCGAGCGGCGTCAGCGAAACCCCCGCCCAGGAGGGCAGGGCAGAGGAGAGCAGAGCAGAGCGCGGGGGAGGCGGAAATGCCGGGGTTTGGAAAAAAAATAAAAAATTAAAAAAAAAAAAGGAAATTTCTGGAGCATGAAACGACACATCCCGCCCTCCAGCCGCCCGCTCCTCCACCCAGCCACCGAGCCATGCATCCCTCCCTCCATCCATTCCCGCAGAACTCACAGGGGTCTCACACGGCTCCACCATCGCCTCCGGCCCCGCACAGCCCCGCCCCGCCCCATAACAGGTTGGTCACGCCCCCACATCTTGACCACGCCCACTCCTGATTAGACACGCCCCCTTCGTGATGGCCACGCCCCGGCTCAGATGGGGGTGTGGCCTCCCTGTCCTGGCCCCGCCCACTCAAGGGTTGGTCCCGCCCCCTCCCCGCCCCAAATTCTGCCTTTCTGTTCTGGGCAGGTGACACCCATCTGTGTCCAGGTCTGGGTCTCCAGCACAGGAAGGATGTGGAGCTGCTGGAGCGAGGCAGGAGGAGGCCACGGATTTGCTCCGAGGGCCGGAGCCCCCTGCTCTGGAGCCAGGCTGGGGGAGCTGGAGGTGTTCACCTGGAGAGGGATTCAGGGAGACCTGAGAGCCCCTTCCAGTGCCTAAAGGGGCTCCAGAAGAGCTAGAGAGGGACTTGGGACAAGAGGGACAGGACAAGGGAGAATAGCTTCCCACTGACAGAGGGCAGGGATAGATGGGATATTGGGAAGGAATTCTTCCCTGTGTTGGTAGGGAGGCCCTGGCACAGGTTGCCCAGAGAAGCTGTGGCTGCCCCTGGATCCCTGGAAGTTCCCAAGGCCAGGCTGGATAGGGCTTGGAGCAACCTGGGCTAACGGAAGGTGTCCCTGCCCATGGCAGGTGTTGAAATCAGATGAGCTTTAAGGTCCCTTCTAACACAATCCATTCTGGGATTCTGTGAAAATCAGTGTTAATCACAGCCTGGCTTGATTTTTTTTTTGTGGAATGGGGAACATATTGTATCAGATTTGGGATCCCTTACCCGAGATCCTCCTTTACTCACTGTGCTTCCTGCAACACCCCATCAGGATGAATTTCACTGTAAAGTCCTCAATTTTCTTCAAACTACACTTTAATGCTCACCTTGAGAGCACAGTGTGACTGGAAAGGAAATCATCATCAGCTCTTCTTTCCCTTTTTCTTTCCCCAAAAATGTGTTTGGCTCCTCAGCCACGCAGGGAAATAATAAACTGGCGGGGCCCCAGTTTTTCTGTAACCCCACTGTAACCATCAGACAGGCTTTGCCAATTCATTTGTATTTGTGTGGCAAATACATTAGAGGAGTTTTACATCGTCTGTTTCCTGTTGCCAGCTGTTTGCCTTTAGCCTTCCCCACCTCCAGTCCCTAAGGTAAAGATAACCAACCTGTGTCTCTTCCAACCTTCTTCCAACCTTTCTTCATCAAAGCAAAATGCTCTCCACTTTTCTGCAGAAGACCCCAAAATGGTCTAGTCTGGATTTTTTTCCACCTGCAGCTGCCTGTGGGAGAAATGCAGAGGGACCCACATATCTCCCAGTAGCACCAGTGCAAGCACAGCTGGCCACCACACAGCTCCAGCCTGTGAGCCTGTGAAGAGAGCAGGTCAGGTGGCCTTGGCCACCCCGATGTCAAAATAACCTCAGACACACGCAGGCTCCCATGTTTTTTCCCTCTTTTCTGAGCAAAACAAGCAGAAGCACGCAACCAAATGCACCCACTGGCGATGTGCTGAAATGGAAAGGCTCGAGAGGAGCGCACGGGTTTCTCTCCAGTGGTTTCTCCTTGGGATTTTCATCTGCATTGACATGCCAGCCTGGGAAAGCACCTGAGGAGATGGCACGGCCTATCCGAGTCAGTAGCTCATCAGCTCTGAGGGATTTGCCTGATATTTCTGACCTGCTGCCATCCATCACGTCAGAAAACCCACTGCTGGAGCAGAGCCTTGGATCACATCAGCACAAGGGACTGTGACAGCCCAGCAGGGGGGACAAAGCCAGACCATGCTGGGCCAGAGCCACCATGGCCCCTCCAGACAACATTACCCACACCCGAGAGACCCTGCACAGCAACACAGCCCCCCACACGGGCTGGGGGCAGGTTTTAGGGACACCCCTGTGCTGCTCTGCTGCTCCTGCATGTCCTCTCTCCTGCAGAATAAATCTGTCAATGCTTAGCAATGGGACAGCTGTCGATTTTGAACCTGTCATGGGGACTGGGGTCAAGGTATCAGCTGAATTTTAAGGGGATCGAGAAAGCTGGGTATTTCCATAAGGGAACAACCGATGAAATCAGGCACCAGTCGGTCAAAGCTATTCATGGATTTGGGCCCTTGGAGAAATGGTTTAGTGGAAAAGGTGCCCAAGGAAAGCAACTTGGGAGATTGAGGTTAAAGGAATTCAGGTGTAAAGAAAGGGACAAGGGAGAATGGCTTTAAACTGACAATGGGCAGGGTTAGTTTGAATATTAGAAAGAAATTTCTTGGTTGTGCAGGTGGTGAGGCCCTGACACAGGTTGCCCAGAGAAGCTGTGGCTGCCCCTGGATCCCTGGAAGTGTCCAAGGCCAGGTTGGACGGGGCTTGGAGCAACCTGGGATAGTGGAAGGTGTCCCTGCCCATGGCAGGGGGGAGGAACAAGCTGATCTTTAAAGTCCCTTCCAATCCAGACCATTCTATGATTCTTTGAATAGCTTACCTCTCCTGAGAAGGCATTTGCCTCAGCACCCTATCCGGAGCTGGAAAGCCCAGCTGGGAGAGTTTGGCACTTTTGCACGGCTACATTGTAAGTGCTGCGGTGTCAGGGCAGCACTTCCCTCCCCTTTTCTTTCACTAGTTGCAGAATCCCCATGCCTGCCCAGAGCAGGGACAACCATGCCATCTCCTGGTGGCACCTGGTCCCGACGAGCTGGATGAAGTGAGTGGCCCAGGCAGGCTCAGCAGGACCCTCGTGTTCCCCTGCAAACCCTTCTGGCTTCAGAATTGAAGCAGAGGAGCAGCGTTAGTCCCTAAGCAAGGCAGGAAGCAAAGGGGGATGCTGGAGGACAGGATGTCCAAGCTGCAGATTGCAGCTCCGTGCTCTATTCCCCCTTCCCAAATTAGCCACCCTGGTCCTGGTCACTGCTGGAAAGGGCATTGTTTTCTGCAGGATATCCCTTGGGGAAGGGAATTAACTGCTGGAGAAGGTGACTTAGAGAAGAGACTCGGCTGTAGCACTCGGCTCCCACCTTGCAATAACCCAAGCGGGTCCAAAACAATCCATCAATCCATCTCCAGCTCATCTCCATCAGGGACTCCGACAGCAACATCCTCCCACTGGCACGCCTGTGGCATCCTAGCCAAAAACAGATTGGAGGGATGCTCACAGGGATCCCCACACTGCCAATGCTGCCAGAGCTGAATCCCTGCAGGTGCTAAACCCCGCAGGAACCAGCAGTGAGTGATGAAAAGGAAAGGAGCAGATTGTTTCTTTTTCTTTTTTTTTTTATTAGACTAGGAAATATAATTTATTGCATAAAAATTAATTTGTTACAATAGGAATGCTAAACTTTATTTACAGTTCTTTAGTTTACAGAATAAACAGACACGGTTTCAGAGGATGCCACCAGGCCCATCCCCTGGACATATAAATATGGAAACAGACTGTGGAGCAAGAGATGGACACTGCCAGCACAACATGGACCACGGGGCTGCCTTTGCCAAAAGGCCTGGCTGGAGAAACCCCTGGGTGTGGCGGGAGGTGTGGGAGCTGCACCCATGGAAGAGGGGCACAGGTGCTCAGGGGACCAGGGTGGGGGGCAAACCCTGCCTCACTCCTGCCCCACTCCCAGTACAGGTTCCCTGGTCTGGAGAATGGGGAGAACCTCCCCAAACATAACTGGGCTGGGCGGCTGCTGCCTGCCAAAGGGAAAGGGAAGATGAATGCAATGGATGGGGATGGAGCCAGAGGCACCCGCGGGCGGGACGGATGGACGAACAGATGGACAGACACACGTGCTGGTGCAGTGATCCATAAACGAGAGACAGCGAGAATGGAAGCGAGAGAGATTCAGAGGCAACCTGAAGGAGTATCTCATCTCACAGAGAACACCATGGAAGTGAGAAAGGAGCCCTCCAAACCACTAGCAGTTGGTTTTATCCATCAAGTCTTCATTTCTTTCCAAATTTGCTCATTCCTCCTTAGCTCAGAGATGGGGTCTCAGAAATGCTCAAATGCAAGCTACAGGATGGATATAACCCTTCCCTTGTGACACAGGAGCTCACCCAGCAGCAGTCTTCCCATCCGGCACAAGTGGAAAAGATCCCTTCTCTCCCACAGCCTCGAAAACCCAGCAACAAGCCCAAAGATCCTTAAACACAACAGGGGGTGGCTCTACATGTTCCATCCTGGCTCCAAGAGCTGCCCAGAGGAATCCTTTCGTGCCCCAGCAATACTGAAAGCTCTCCCCGAGCTGCCCTGTGCAGGTGATGCTCTCCAGGGCTCCCTGAGCGTGCTCCAGTCCCCAGCACACTGTGGGATGACACAGGCACCTCGTGGCACTGGGCCAGGGCTCTGCAGCCAGGACACCGCATGTTGCAGCCCAAAGCAGGACCTGCTCCTAATACTTCCACTGACGGAGAATCCACAGCCTTGCGGTGTGACCTAGCCTAATCCTGAGCTTACCACCCCCTTCCTCTATTTTTTTTCTTTAAAATAGACAAACTTCTAAGATACAGCACTCTCTGAGTAACTATTTCTATCTGCAGGCAACCTAAATTTTTACCTTCATCAAGACACCGTATCTGTGTGAGGAACCTGGTTCCTGCCTACTCCTTGATTACTTTCCATTCACTCCACAACTTCCCCATCGTTACAAAAAGCCTGTTAAAGGGAAAAACAGGAGCTGCAATGAGGGATGGAAACTTGATCACTGCTCACGATGCTGTCCCTCATGTGGAAATGCTCAGCCTGGCTCACAACTTGGGGACACTGAGGTATTCCTCCCTGAATCCCTCCTGAAATACTGCATCAAAAACCGGGGATGAGCACATGGACCCAAGATGAGGCTACATCCCAGCCCATCAGCCCTCTGCTCTCCCTGGATCCTTCCACAAGCCACTCCTCACCTCCCTCTGACCCCTGGGCCCAGGTTTGGAGTGTTCACTGAAAAATCCTGCTGGGTTTAAAACACCCCCCACTTTGGCCTTGGGGTCCGTAGGTTGGTGCAGGACTGAAATCTTTGGTTTGTACTGAAGTTACACAAATGAAGGCGCAGTCATCCTAAAAAGCTCCCCCAAACGATGCCAGGGAAGAATTCATTAAAAATACCCATATCAGGATGCACTCTCCCCACCCTGAACCCCAATTACAGGGCAGCATCCCTCATCCCTCCTCACAGGTGGAAGGGAGTCCCTCAGTCCGCTGGGCACTGCAGCCAGGGAAAGGGGAGTTTGCAAGGGAAAAAACCTTGGGAAGGGTCTGAGCTGGCCCTGAACCAGAGGGGCGGAGAGGCACTTCACCCTACGGACTCCCTGGGGGTCCCAGGACATGTAAACATGTTTTGCTTGACTTGGATCACACACTTTTCCCTACAAAAGTGTGTCCATTGAAATCTCTCTGCCACCCTGACCACAGCAATGCTCTTGCTCTCACACACCAAAAAAAAAAAAAAAAAATTATTAAATCTGCCTTTTTTTTTTTTTTTTTTTTTTTTTTTTTTTTAAAAAGGAAACATCCAAAAAACCGGATAATAAATTATTTGGGTTTCCTAAAAAAATTTTTTTTTTTTCCTTTTTTTTTTCTCTCTTATTTGCCTCGTTAAGCTGCCTGAAGCCTTTGACAGGAGTTAAGCCGTTCGCCTGGATTGAACTCGCCTCTTCAACGCAGAAATGCTATTAAAGGAGGAGGAGGGGAACCCAAAAGAAGAAGGAAAAGGAAAGCCCCCATCCCGACTCAAGAAGCCCTAATTCCTCCCCGTGCCATGAGGAGGAGGAAGAGGAATGCTGCATAACACTTGGATTGCTTGTAAACGCTGAGGACGGGTCTCTAAGGCTGACAGTGATGTGGGAGGGAGGAGGAGTGACGGCCTCCGCCCTTCCTTGCTCAGGATGGACGTGCCTCGCCCCCCCAGCTGTTGGGGAAGGACCCCTCCTCACCCCCTGTTTTGTCCTCCTCGCCCACCAGCTGTGGGAGCATCATCAGCAGTCCCCCTCCGTGGCCATGACCACCAGCATCTCGCTCTTGCCCATCTCCTCTAAGGCACTGGCCAGGGTGTTGAGGTCACCATCGTCCTGGTGCTCGGCTTCCCACAAGTCCAGGAGCACCCCGGTGGGGCTGGCTTTGGTGGCAAAGTAGTTCAGATACCTGAGGAGGAGAAGCAGAGGTTGGTGTGGTGCCCTTCGGGGATGGAAGGAGGGAGGATGCCAGAACAGCAAACCTGTTTGCAACATGAACCGTGGCAAGAATGCCATAACACAAATGCCAAAGCCCTCAAGATGCCATCTTCAACTTTTACACAGAGCTGACGTTCATGCAAAAGCAGTGTAAGCTTTGTTTTGCTGATATTACCCTCCCTCCCTTCAGTCCTAAGGGTGAACCCAAGGAGGAACAGGACTGCCTGGGTCCCAGGGCCATTCCAAGTGCCAAGAGACCCACAGATGGATCTCAGAATGGTTTGGGTTGGAAGAGACCTTAAAGATCATCTCATTCCAACCCCCTGCCATGGGCAGGGACACCTTCCACTAGACCAGGTTGCTCCAAGCCCCATCCAACCTGGTCTTGGATACTTCCAGGGATGGGGCAGCCACAGCTTCTCTGGGCAATCTGTGCCAGGGCCTCCCCACCCTCACAGGGAAGAGTTTCTTCTCAATACCTCATTTAAAGCTTTCCTCTTTCAGTTTAAAACTGTATCCATGGATAGAGATGGATATAACTATGCAGAACTATATCCATATTTTTGGTTGTACCTATTGAGCTGGACATAACCTCACTGGGGCCTGCACCACAGACGGAGCACAGAGTGAAGCCCCCCTGCCTGAGGCACAGCAGTGGAAAACAAAGCACAGGGACACCCACCGGTCCATGGAGAGCTTCTGGGCGAGAAGTCTCCAGTCGTTTCCCCTGGAGCTGGGAGCATCCAGGCTGTTGCAGATCTTCTGCCGGATGGAGAGGGGGATTTTGAAGGCATAGGGTCCCACCTGGGTGGTGGGGGTGGCACCACTGTGGTGGGAGCGGAGGGTGTCGAAGGAGCTGGAGTGCTGCAAGGGGAAGGACAGGGAGAGATGTTGCAGCACAGAGCTGAAATACCTGAGCGTGTCCCCTCACTGTGATCCCCCCACCGCCCCAGCGCTCACCTCTCCCAGCGTGATGTGCAGCTGGAAGATCTGCCCTTCCCCTTCCACCTGCCGGACGCAGATCTTGCAGGTGAGCTCGGTGGAGGCCTGGTTGTACCTCTCCAGGGTGAAGGTGCAGTGCAGGGCTCGCTGGCTGCCGCTCCAGATGTGATAGAAGGGGATTTCCTGCAGGCCACCAAAGCATGGGCTCAGCCAAGGCTCCAGCAGCTCCCTTGGGAGATCTCACCTCCTCACCACCCCTTGGGAGATCTCACCACCCCACGAGGGACCCCAGCAGGACCCCACAGTGGCTGAAGATGGTGCTGCCATTCTGAGCCCCCTCAGCCCCTCACCTGGTACTTGGCCAGCAGCTTGCTCCTCCACAGGGCGTGGGGGATGTCGTGGATGGAGAGACGCAGGTTGTGGTAGCTGTCCTTGAAGGGCAGGGGCTTGGGCTCCTCCAGCAGGTACCCTCCCAGTGTTCTCTCCAGCTCCAGCACCTCCTGTGGGCAGCAGGACAGGCAGCATGAAGACCCAGGAGAAGGGCAGGGGCTGCTCCTCTGCCCACCTCCATGCCCAAAGCCAGGCATGGAGCAGGGAGAGGAGCTGCCAAGAAGAGCGAGCAGCAACAACAAGCCATAGAGAGCAGCTTTTGCCACAGCAACAGAACTTGCCAACTCATCTCATGCACCAGCCTCACCTAAAACTTGAATTTTATAATGTGAGCATCCGTAAATGTCTCTGTACTCCTCAGAGAATGCAAAGGTCCAACACAAGGGTCAGGGACTCCTTTGAAGGATGCCACCCTATTTGTCTTTAACATCATCCCACCATCACACCAGCAGCTTTTAGGAGAAAGCTGGGAGCCAGAGTGCTGCCTACATCCCCATGTAGAGGCACCACAGCAATCCTGACAGGATCCACAGGACAGGTCACAGGGAATCACACAGCCACCACACCAGTGGTCCAGGTAGCCAAAGCATCAAAACTCCAGCTTCCTGTGCTGCACTGGATGGTGTCTATACCACAAAACACTCCGAAGGAGGGGAGACACACAGATCCATGCAGGAATAAGAGGATCTATAGAAAACTGAGGTAAATCACAACTTTCTGTGCAGCAGAGAGAAAACCCACCCATGGGCAGCCCAACCTCTCATGGAATGCCTGCAGGAAGGGGTTCCAGCAGAGGAGACAAGCAACACCCTCATTGTTTCCTTCGGAGAGGGCGCAGAAGGACAGGGAAAGCAGTAAACACCTTATTATTTCACTGTGGTCACTTTGCAGGCAGTTGCATCAGGTTGTCTGCTCCCTGGAGCCAGGCCACCCTTAGAGGCACCAGGCAGCATCTTGCTGCCAGCACAAACAGCTTTGGGAAGGTGATATTTACCTTCAGAGCATCTGGTGTGTCCTCCAAACAGTAGACCTTGAGGCTGTACTCCAGGGAGGTGCAAACAGTGGGGGCAAAGATGGCCAGCTGAAGCCTCTTGATGGCTGACCTGGAGTAGGACTCTCCCACGAAGACATAGGTGCCCAGCTGGTCTAGCAAAATGTGGCAGGACTTGGCTTCCAGCTGGCAGTAGCAGGGAGTGTTGAGGGTCTCCTCATCCAGGGTCACAACTTCCTACAGATGGGACATCAAGGCTGGGGGTCAGCCCATGGTCCCGAGGGCTTGTGTCCCTCAAGGGTGACGGTCTCTGGTGGCCGCTGGGCTGGGTTCCCACCTTACCTCCCAGTTTCCCTGGTGGGACTGTGTTTTCAGCTGGTAAATCCAATCTGAGGAGCTGACGTCGGCACAGTGGGGAATGGTCAGGACGACGGGGCGGCACAGGAGCAAGCCAGTGGGCCCACAGGTCACTGCCGGGCTCAGCACCGTCTGCGTGCCCTCGGAGGGCAGGCTGGGGAGGGAGAGGGGACACTGGTTGGAAAGGGAACTCCATGGTGGCCAACAAGGAGCAGACATCGGGGTGGCACAGGGTGACTTACAGGGCACTCTCTGCCTTGTTGAGGACCAGGTACATCTCATAGAACTTCCCCTGGGGGATGGCCCCGTGGGGCACCAGCAGGCTCACCCCTGGAATGGAACACATAGGTGTTGTTAGTCACAAAAAGAGGGAGAAACCACCCTCCCATCCCCCTGGCCAGACCGCACCAGGACAGCAGGGAGCTAGGGCAGCCCAGAGAGAAACACTTCTACATCAGAAAATCATGGAACGTTTTGGGTTGGAAGGGACCTTAAAGATCATTTTGTTCCAACCCCCTTGCCACAGGCAGGAAAACCTTTCACTAGATGAGGTTGCTCAGAGCCCCATCCAGCCTGGCCTTGGACACTTCCAGGGATGGGTCAGCCACAGCTTCTCTGGGATGGCCCACAGCTACACCACTTGCAGGGATGAGCCAGGCCAATGTGTGAGGATGAAAATCCTAATCTTTGGATCTTTTTGCAAGGTGCTGGCCCTGGATCAATATCAGAGAAAGGTCAAGTGAAACCCAAGGAGGCTGTGACCTCTAGCCTTCCAAGCCTGGCTTGGGAATGGCTTTTTGCCTTTCTTCCCTGAGCCAGCTTTGGGACAGCAAAAGGCTGCTCACAGCAGGCAAGTTTTCTAGGACAAGAGCAACCCCTTGATCGTTCAGAAGCCAAACAGTCCCCCCTCCCAGCTCGGGGCTTACCAGTGCCTGGCACGGTGAGCCTTCCCCCCAGGTAGCCAAACGTGCCACTGGCGCTGTAGCCGTGCTCCCGGGGCAAGCCAAGGAGGTGCTGGGAGCCCAGGGCTTTGCTCCGCACGTTCCCGAAGTTCCCCTCCCTGGCGGTGTCCCCCGGGTAGGTGCCGGTGGCAGGGACCCCCCCCCAGCAGGTCCGTGCCGTCGTGCAGCCCTGGCGAGGAGGAGGCAGTGGAGGAGTTGTACACCTTGATCTTGAGGTTGGGCAGGGGGTCCAGCAGGGGCGAGTTGGTCATGGGGATCTTGTCGGAGGAGTCCTGCAGGGCGTACATGGGGCCGCGGTACAGCCCCGCACTGGCCGTCAGGTCCGGCTGCATCGAGGGGTGCAGCAGCTGGGAGTTGTCTGGGGGAGCAGGAAGAAACACAGGTGGGATGAAGACAGCGGAGGAAACAAGGGGTTGGGAAAGTACTCCTTGAGTGGAGGAGATCACAGAATCCTAAAATGGATTGGGTTGGAAGGGACTTTCAGGATTACCTAGTTCCAACCCTTCTGCCACAGGCAGGGACACCTTTCATTAGACCAGGCTGCTCAAAGCTTTGCACTGATTCCCCTCATCATGGAGCCCTCAGAAATCAGCACATTCCCCCAGGAAAACGGGGCTGTGGCTCTCACCGTGCCGGGAGGTCTTGAAGTTGACAGGGTGGAATCCTCCAGTGAGAGCAGCTGATGAGTCCGTGATGTCCGTGTCAAAATCCCGGCATCTCCTCCGGTACACCACCACCCCCACAGCCATGAGGATCACGATGAAGACGAAAATGGCCACCACTAGCCCGGCATACAGGGCCACGTCACCTGTGGCCTCCAGCACTGGGAGGGATTAAAGAAGTGGAGGTGAAAAAAGGAGCATGAGAAATGCACGTCAAGACCCACCAGTGCTCCCCAAAGCCTACCACCAACTCAGGCACGAAGGGGAAGATGAGTACTGGGCCTGCTGGGAAGGCTGGCAGGAGGATGGAGGGTGTTTTCTAAGAGCAAGAAGTCAAGAGCGATGCCAGAGAATGAGATGGAGGTGAAGCCCTCAAACCTTTGGAGGACACCTGGCCACAGCTCATGCCAACTTCACCTGAGCACCAAGGATCCCAGAAACACTAGATTTGTGCAGCTCAGGTTCATGATCAGCCCTCACATCCTAACAGAGACAATCCTGAGGAGTACACAGGAGTTTTGGGGTGGGCTTTAGTTGCTCCCTCTTCCCACCCTGTCCTTGCCCAGCTGTTGAGGAGCCCAACCACAGATGTAACAGAACAAAACCAAAGAAACAAACAGAAAAAAAAAATGGCCATGAAATGAGCACTTACGGTGGCTTTTGGGTTCGCTTAGAACTCTTTTATCTGTTAGGAGAACAAAGTTAGAAAAAAAAAATGGTGAAGGTGATGATGGGCATGAGATGAAGCAGAAAAAGGGGGGAAGCCAGCCTGGGGGCATGGGAGATCAGCATTGTACCCCAGGGCATGCCAAAAGCAAGGCAGAAGCACAGTGACAAGGGCATCCCCATGCCCAGCCAGGCCCTGGGACGCATGTCCCTATCTAACAGGACTTTGGAAATATCTGGCCATGGCTGCATTAAAGGGGACAGTGGTGTCACACAGCAGCAGGTGGCAGCATTGGGCTGCCTTCAGTGTGCCCACTCACAGCACAGTAGCACCATTATCTTCACTATTGGTTTGCTTCCCTAAACACTCAGCTACAGACCTCCTACCCAGCAAGGACTCAGGGCAGGTGTTTTCACGGTGGGGCTGAGAAACCCCTTCTGCTTTGCCCCCACCAACCACAACCAGCCTTACTTCAGCCAAGACCCCAAACCTAGAGGGGGGCCGAGGGTCTCAATGCCATTGGGACATTTAGATCCCACCAAAAATCCCCAGGATTTCTTTCCTCCAGGTGAGAACTAGCTTCGGGAGGGGTTAGTCTGCTTGAAAACACCTTGTTGAAGACACAAACCTAAAACCCAGGTGCCAGCGGTGCTGCTCCACCGGCTTGCAGGTACAGCCAGCGACAGCGTGGCCAAGCGACGGAGCAGCATGGCCAGTGGCACCACACGCCTGTGCCCACCTGCCCAGGTACTCACTCTGCAGGCAGAGCCCATCGGTGCAGTTTTTGGAGTCCAGAAGCCCCCCGCTGCAGTCCTTGCCGCCGTTGCGGGGGGCTGGGGCGGCGCACTCGCGGCTGCGCCAGTGCGTGCACTCGGTGCTGCACGCTGACCACTTGCTCCACTCCGTCCACGCGCCATCCACTGTGGGACACCCAACACAGGACTGTCAGTAAAAGCCCTGGCACGGCCCCGGGGGCTCGTTCCCCAGTGCCGGGATGGTGCCGGCAGCACAAAGGGGCTTCCCTTGGGGAGTGTTATCCCAGTGCATCCAGCCCTGCCGCCATCTGGGGAGGGTAATTGTGTCCCTGCAGACACCCCCAGCTCTTTGAGACTAAAATAGGGTGGAATCATAGAATGGTTTGCGTTGGAAGACACATTAAAGATCATCTCTTTCCAACCCCCTACCGTGGGCAGGGACACCTTCCACTAGACCAGGTTGCTCCTAACCCTGTCCAACCTGGCTTTGGACACTTCCAGGGATCCAGGGGCAGCCACAGCTTCTCTGGGCAACCTGTGCCAGGGCCTCCCCACCCTCATAGGCAAGAATTCCTTACCAATATCTAAACTTACTCTCTGTCGGTGGGAAGCCATTCCCACTTGTCCTGTCAGTCTAGGCCCTTGTAAATAGTCTCTCTCTATCTTCCTTGTTGGCCCTTTCAGGCACTGGAAAGCCACAATTAGGTCCCCTCAAAGCATCCTCTTTTCCAGGCTGAATAATCCCAACTCTCTCAGCGTTTCCTCACAGGAGAAGTGCTCCATCCCTCTCACCATCTTGGTGGACTCACTCCAAGAGGTCAATGTCCTTCCTATGCTGGAGACCCCAGAGCTGGACGCAGTACTCCAGGTGGGTGCTTTGGACTGGGTCTCCTGAGCCCCTGTCTCCTTGGGATGCACTGGTAGCCGAGCTGGGCCATTCCACATGGGGCATGGGCAGTGTGGGCACGCCAGGTTGCAAACCTGCCTTACCTGGGCAGAGGGTGGTGCAGGTGATTTTCTGGAAAGGTTGCCCGTCGCAGAAGGAGCCGCCGTTCAGTGGCGCGGGGTTGGTGCAGGTCCGGGTGCGCTTCTGCCAGCCCCGGCCACAGCGGTTGTTGCAAGGAGACCACTCGGACCAGGTGGACCAGCCACCGTTCACTGCAGGAGGAGATGGACAGCACTAACACCAGAGCCCAGTTCAGCAGGGACAGCAGCTAAACCTTGGCTTCTCACATCTGTGACCCCCTTGTACAGCTCCTTCTCACAAAAAGCAAATCACAAGACTCCTTCTCGTATATCCCACCTCACGCCCAAGATGCTCAAGCCTTTTAGTTAAGCCCTTTGGGACAAAGCTTTGGTCTTTTTTCCACTTGGCAAAATATTTTCGTGCCTGGCCCCAGGGAGATCCTTGGTTTCATAGCCAAGTTCAGCCAAACACAGCTTTTCAGCTGCTTTGAGAATCAAAACAATCCGTCTGGGTCCAGCCTCCATCCACCTTCCTACCCAACAGAGAAGGCTTGGAAATACCTCCACCCCTACACCTCCGAACCTCCCCTAACAGGCTGTGCAAGCTGTAAGAGGATCCTGTTCTGCAGATATTGGTTATTACTTAATTTCATGCACTAATTTAATTCCCTCCTACCACTCCCAGAAAGTGCCCGTGTTCCCCCTTGGCCTGGGGACATGGCCAGAGCAAAGGTCCCCTCCCTGAAGCAAGGGCTGGTACCGTAGACGATGACAGCGGCCGTGGTGCTCCGGCGCTTGGCCACTATGTTCTTGGCCATGCAGGTGTAATTAGCAGTGTCCAGGAGCCGGGCCTGCTTGATGATGAGGTTGTGGTCGATGGTGATCAGGAAGTTGGTGTCCTGGGAGGGGTCGATGACGTCCTCGTTCCTCAGCCACTCCACCTGGCAATAAAAAAAGGGGTGGGTGAGGACAGTGAGTGAACCATCACCGAGACTACTGATGTCCTCAGCACCTCAACCATTGACTGGCCAACTTTGCCTCTGACTCTATTTGTTTCTCCTTAAAAAGTTAAAAATCTGAGGCACATAACAGCTGTTTGGGCCAAGGATGTGGCTACCACCAACGCACAGCTCTCAGGGGCTGACAGAGCTGTGGGCATGGAAAGCTCCGCCACCTTGGCAGGGAAACCCATCCATACTGACTTTCCCAGCTGCCCTCCGCTCCCACTGGTGACTGCTCCCCTTCAGCCAACTCCTTGGGATGAAGATTTTTCCCTCTAAAAGGGGTTAAGGGCACCTCAGGAAGGGTGAGGGAGCTGTTCTGAGCAGGTGCTGAGGTTATGTGCGTTACTAGATGTCACAGCAAGAGATCCACTGCCCAAAATAAACCTTTCTGCTGCACAGTGAGAGCTGATGGTCTCGGCACGAGGCCATCCATCATGGCCACAAGCCATGTGCAAGGACGTGCCCTGAGAAGGGAGGGGACACCTCAGCCACCAGGGTGGCATTCCTTGGGGCTGTGGAGCCACTCACCTCGGCCTGTGGGACCCCCTCGGGCGGGCGGCACTGCAGCAGGACCTCATGCTCCAGTGGGACCTCCTTGCCCAGCGGCTCCTGGTCAAAGTTCTTTCGTAGGTCTGGGAGGGAAAGGAAAAGTCAGGGGTTACCAGAGCTGCTGCAGGAGCAGGGCAACCTCCAAAACTTTGGTGGGAACCTCAGCACCAAGTGTCCACAAGTGAGGAAATCCCTCTGGCGTAGCACAGCCAGAGCAAAATGTGTCCTGGGAGGAAGGAGCTGGAGAATCATGTTTTCCAGGATGCATTTGGGCAGCATGTGGTGCTCAAGGACAGTATCTTTCCTCCTTCATGTTGTTGCAAGCTTATACCCCATCCCATCATTTCCTTTTGGGGCTAAACCTCAGCTTGACCACTGTTTCTTTATCCCCTCTATTTCCTTCCCCCTCTGGACCTTGCTCCAGGATCCTCTTTTCATGAAAGGGGAAAATGAGATTTGCAGAACAGTTCAGCTCCCACATCAGTGCTGAAGAGAATTCCCAGATTTCAGGGTTAAGGGGGTTTGTTGCTCAGCTCTGCCCTAGTTGGTCCTGGCTAAGCCACATCCCCAGACTTGCTGGAAATGTGGCCATTGCATTCCAATGAGGAAAGGTTGCAGAGGAAAAGCCAGGCTTCCTCAGCAAGGGGCTGGACAGTGTTTTGGGGAAGGAGAGGCCCCTCGGGATGTGGGGGATATGGCTGTGTCCTGCTCCAGAGCCTTAGAAGGAGCAGGAGCATCACTAGATGGTGCTGCAATCCTCTGCTACAGCTCCAGCCCTCTCAACGTGGCTTCCGAACCCTCACTTCACCTCATCTGCTCTGAAAAAATAACGTGTTCAAGGCCGGGTTGGATGTGACTTTGAGCAGGCTGGTCTAGTGGAAGGTGTCCCTGACCATGGCAGGGGGGGTTGGAATGAGATGAGTTTTAAGGTCCCTTCTAACCCAGACCATTCCATGATCCTCTGATCCCGTGATTTTCCCTGTTCAAGCTAAACCCTTTAGCCAAATCATCAGCCCTCTCTGTTTTGGATAACACGTGGGATTATTAGCCCTCTAATAGCAAAATCCATTTGGGGCTGGGGAATCCTGGCTGTTCTCCCACGGCTTTGCCATCTCATTTGCTAATCGAGCAAACTGGGGAGGGAACAACCTGATTAACCCGCCCTTAGTCAGGCTGACACCCCCAAACAGCAGCTCAGAGAAGTGACATATGACAGCAGGGACTTCGGGGACACTGAGCGGCTGATTCAGGCAGAGCGTGCAAGGTGCTATCCTTGGGTTATTAGGGATAATAAAGCACTGGGAAGAGCTGAGCTGACGGGTACTGCGGCATTAACCCAGGTAGTGCCACAGCCCCTCGCCCAGAAGCAAAGCTGGAGCTGGGATGGGGAGCGAAGACCAGGGCTATCCAGCAAGGATGGGTCATTCCGAGTGATCGAAAAGTGACTTCCATAGGGAGCCAGCTTTTGGAGATGGGCAACCCCGTGGGAGCAAGCGCGGCATGTCCCGGGCACTTACACGCTATGCGGACGTAGGCGCGGCGGCTCTTGGTGGTGCCCGCCGAGCTCCAGGCCACGCACTGGCACCAGTAATCCTCCAAGCCAAAGAGCTCCTCCACCTGCTGCCGGGAGACCTCGATCTGCACCTCCCGCACCAGCATCCCTGGAAGGGGAGAGAGGGACGGCATCAGCTCGGCAGGAGCATCTGGGATGAGGGGGACCTGAGAGGGATGGTGGACGTGCAAAGCTTGGGGACAGGGGCATCTCATCTAGGGATGGCACCTCTGCAAATCAGGGGGACTGTTCCCTCTGGAGGGTGACCTGGATTTGAAGCCAGGGGAATGGATCCCGTGGAATTGTCTGGTTTTGTCCCTCCTCAGTCTGACTGAGCAGGACCAGGACCTCTCCACCATTTCTAGAGGCATCACCCTCCTCCACCCTCCTCTCCCACATCACCAACATCCCTGCCCAGACTCCTTCCCCCCCGCCAGGGTTTGAAGGATGCCTCCCAGGCTTTGTTGCAGGGAGAAACCATCCCTGTCAGTGCCACTTAAATACAACCATAACAAGACAAATAGAAGATCTTAAGGCAATCACCCTGGCCACGGCAGTGGTGTGGTGGCAAAGGTGACACCACCATGTTCAGAACATGCTGAAGCATCAGTGGCCATCACCAAGGGCAGGAGAGACTCAGGGCTTACTTTTCCTTATTTTAAGCAATACCTGCCCTTTTATTTGCAGCTTCTATTTTAAAAAGGCCTCAATTTCACGGCGATCGAGCGCCGCACGCTCCCCAGCTGTAATTTTGTTACAGCCCGCTCCCAGCGCTGTGAGGAGCAATTACTGTCTCTCTGCCACCTTCCTGCAGGAGAGCTGACAAGGAAATACAATTTATTTTGTCACTATTCGGGGGAAAGAAAAAAAAAAACCAACAAAAAAACCAACAAAACAAACCAAAGAAAAGGTATTTGGGCCAAGTGCTTTTGGGAAACTTAGGGTTTTTAGAAGGACCCAGGATGGAGATGGCTCAAACACATCTTGTCTATCTGGAAAGCTCCAGTGGGGTGGGTTGAGCAGCCTTGGAAAGGTGGGGAGCATCCTGCAAATGCCTTATTTCTGTCCCCCTGAAAGCAATGACTACCCAAAACTGTAGGCTGAGCTCAAGGCTCACAGGAGTGACTATGTAAGGGCTCCTAGGCATCCAAACCTGGCTGCTCTTCCCACCCTGCCCTTCTCACCCAGCTGAATTATCCTCCCTGACTTGGCCTATTTTTGCTTTCTTCCACATGAAATGTTTTGGATCAGACGCAGACAGAGCATTACTGAGCCGGGCTCATTCAAGACACATCATCCTAAAAGTTCCTTTTCTTTTTTTTTCCTTGTTAAAGGTCCGTTTTTCCAAGCTTTTAACCGAGGACACTTAAAAACTAACCGTGTTAACCTGTGCCTTTGTGCCCAGCTCTGCCCTGTGCCCTTTGCAGCAGCTTTCCTGTCCAAGGTCAGGCGCTGCAAATGCAGATTTTCTAGCATGTTAAACCACTTTGGTTCCAGCTCCTTTTTTCTCAGGGAAGTTGCCGGGCAGAGATGCCCACGCCAGCAGCTTTTACATGCACGGCATCACCTCCACACTGAAGGTACTGTTGGTATGTTCCCTGATAGCAGCAATACCATCTTTGAAGCCTGGATGGAGGTGGTGCACGCTGTTTCCTCCACAGATTGCTGGGAGGGCCCAAGGCAAAGGAGTTTCCCCTGCAACAGGTTTCCCAGATGGATGCTCCATTCCTGGGAGTGTTCCAAGCCAGGTTGGATGGGGTTTGGAGCCACCTACTCTAGGGGAAGATGTCTGCCCATGGCAGGGGATGGAACTACATGACCTTTAAGGTCTCTTCCAACACAAACCATTCTGGGATTATATGAGCCTATGAAATATAGTGGTTTTTTCCCACAGTGCACATCAGTAAGCCATGAAACTCCCTTCTGTAGGGTGCTGGGATGATCCAGAGGAGAAATGAGTCCTAACAGCATTCAGACAAATTAACAACTGGTGAATTCATCTGAGGCTGGACTACACTGCTCAGATACCGCCATCAGAGCAGGGAGTCCCTAATCATGGATGGCAGAAAGCTGGGAGGGTAACAGAGCAGGCTGCAGCATTGCCTCCATGTCCTGGTTCAGTGCTCTTCCCCTGAGCGTCCTCCACTGCCATACACAGGGCACAGGGACCTTTGGCTCAACCCAGTGTGGCCAGATGTTATAAATAAATTCAAAACCCCTCAGCAAAGGTTGCTCAGTCATTGACCAGCTCTGACTCTGCCCTGGAGTGGTGAGGGTTTCAACTCTGGCCTCTGCAAGAGCTGGAAGGTGGAGATGCACCCTGGAAAAGAGAAATGCTGTGGCCCCTGCTCCTGTCAGCCTCTGGAGAAGCAAGGGGACAGCTTTGCCCTTCAGAGATGGCATCTCTGAACACCCTTCCTCTGGAAGAAGAACACTCCAGGAATATCTGAAGCAGTTTTAGGAGGACAGGCTCAAAGAGCCACAGAGGAAAGAAATGATCGCCCCTTTGCAGACCAGGTTCAGGGACAGGCCCAAGCACAGACCGGGTCATGGCTAGTGCAGGATGGAGAGAGAGAGATGCCAGGGAAGGGTACAGCTTCCCTGTGGGAAAAACCACAGGGACAAGGAGAGATTCTGTAAAAGTACTTGTGGCTCCAGGCTAATGAAGTCTCTCCTCTAAGCCCAGCCTGACTTCTCAGGCCAACACCACAGCAGTTCAAAAGGGCTGCCTTGGTTTAAAGCCCTCCAGACGCCACATGCAGATGCCACATGCTCAGGGATTTGCAGAGAACAGATGTTACATGGGAACTGTGACTGTTTTCCTCCACCCCTGGTCAGACCACAGGTACCAAAACTGGTGCAGAAAAGATGGGAGCTGAGCTAAAGCATCCCAATTTTAGCAAATCTATTTGATCACACAATATATCCAACTTCTAACCTTCTTCTCATGTCAGGAGGTTTCAAGGCATGGACCAAGCAGCTCTGTGGAGCCCAGTCCCATGGAAAAAAAACCCCCTAAATTGCCTGAACCACCTTCTTACCCCCTGTTCCAGGCAGCCAGAGGCTGACTTATCCTCTGAGGCAGGGAAGAGCTCATTTGCCATCAAAAGGCATTTCAAATCCTACCTGCAATTGCTCTCATTACCCATTAAACACCTAATCCCTCTGCGAACCTGAGTAAGCTGCCAGCCTTTGCCACCCCTCCTGGCAATGGCTCCTACGTGTTGATTAGGCACTTTGCAGGAAAGCTGTTCCATTTTTTTATCGGATTTAAACATGCTGCCTTTAAAATCCCATTTAACAAGCCCAGGTCCTGCAGAAGGGTAAGTGTGTAAGTAGACTGGTTGAGTTCCCCAAGCTTCTAGGGGGTGTGGTGACCACAGCATCACCATCGTGCCTTCATCCGTGTTCTGGAAAGTCTACCTGTTGTTCTGCCTGGAAGAGAGCCCTCAACAGGTTGGCTGTGTATGAGGGAAAAGGGCAGAAGCACCCGGAAAAACGAGAGGGAAGGGGAGGTAGGGGGATGCTGAGGTGGGTTTGCTCACCAGTGACCTCGTCCAGGCTCTCCTTGGTGACGTGGTCGTTCTGGTTGACCCACTCCCCGTTGCACTTGAAGTAGATCTGGGTGGCAGGGTTGGCACGGCACACGAGCTCCACGGGCTTGTTCTTCACGATGTAGGCGTCCTGTGGCTCCAGCAGGAAGTGAGGGAGGGTCTCTGCCGGCGCTGAGGGGAAGGAGTCGGGCAGCACATCGCTGTACTCCAGCCCTGCCAGGGGAGTCAGAGGGTGGGGAGGTGCCCTTAGTCCCATCCCAGCAGGAATGCATCTCCTGCTTACACCGCTTCATCCCTTCCCGTCCTTCCCCAGGAGTGCCCTGCACATGGTGGTGTCACCAACAGCCCTTGCTGAGGATGCTTGGAAAAGCAAAAGAAGGCTGGAGGCTCCCCCAAAACCAGAAAAGCAAATCCCTAAATCCCTGCTAGTGAGAGAGCTGCGGAGTTTATCCTGTTTTTTCCTGGGTACCAGCCCCTCACCCACACTCTGAGCCCACAGCCTGGGTGATCTCACTAGAGGACACCACGAGGGAAAAAGCAGAACAAACCCAGGTCCAGAGATGCTGATGGGGACACTGAGAGGCTCCACAGGGGCTGGTGTCCCCCACCCCAGCTCTCCTCCTCACAGCCCTGAGGAATGCACGGATATGCCCCAGGGAAAATGCTGGCAGGGCTCAGTGCTGGGAATACTGACCATTATCCCAGCACAAATCTCAGACATCCAGTGTGAGATCCACATCCTCAGTGGAGCCCTGTCAACACTTGGATTTCAGCATCACACAACAGGTGAGCAATTGCTTCCAGCCCAGCCAGCTCCAGAGAATATCACCCAAAGGTGCCACCAGGATTCACACCCTCCCACCCCAGAAACTAGGGGTCAGTGACCTGGGGACCTCCATCTTCCTGATTTTTTGCTTTCAAAAGCCATCTAAATGCAAAAATAACGGGAAAAAGAGGTCAGGTGTGCTCAGGCCAGGCCAAGAAAAGTCTTGGAAAGGGGTTAGCACCTCAGTGCTCACACAGGGACATAATCCCTGAGGAATGGGAACCTCAGGGTGGCTCATCCCCAGCAACAGCTTGGGAAGATGCTGTGACTGATGCTGAGTATCATCTGCAGGAAGCCTGTTTCCAGACATTTCACCCATTAAGATCAAACCCAAATATCCCAGGACTAATAGAAAAATCCACAGAGGTGCACTGGGATGCTACTGCTTAACCTGTTGTTCCTGGGAATCTCACTAGCAGTCAGGTCACATCGCAAGGCTTTTCTTTACACCCAAAGGAGTTATGAGCTTTTCCTCCTCCTCTCTTCCCTCAGCCAGAGCTGTGATTCTCAACTCCAGGCACTGCAGCGTGCAGGAAAACAGTAAATATCCCCAGCCCCGCGATAACATCTCCAGAGCTGGCAGGGAAAAGGAAGGAGCCCACTCCCTTCATCACCCTTGGCAAGGAACGGTGCTGCACAGAGAGAATCAGAATCCCAAGATGCGAGGAGGAGGAAGAAGAGAAAAAAATAAATATAATCAGATGCATCAAGAAAACAAGATGACCAAGCTGCCTCCTGAGCAAAAATCAGTGAGGGGAAAAAAAAAATGCACGAGGTCAGTCGTTTAAAATCCATTTAGGAAAATTGACTTTCCATTTCCATTTAACACAGCACTAAGGGAGAGCGGTAGGACATTTGTCATAATCCATTAACTGCTCTTTTGGAAACAATGAATTAAACTCCGGGCTAATTTCTCTCTCTCTGGCTGGCTCTTCCCCACCTCTCTGCTGCTGGTTATTTCCTCCCCCATCTTGTTTGCAGACCTGTGATTTTCCCAGGCCCTGCGGCGGGCAGGTGGACAGGGAATGCCGAGGTGAGAGCCCCCCACCCTGAGCAGTCCCACACTGCCCCCCGTGCCCACCTCAGGCCCCTGCTCCTGCTCCCCCTCTCCTGTTGAGCAGCCTCTTGCCTGTGTCCCACCGGCAAATATCCTTTATTTTTATTCTTCTTATTTTTTTTTAAGTTACTACTCAATTTTTCATCTGCTGAGTTGTTGTTTTGTTGGTCGTTTGCTGGTTTTTTTATTTCAAAAACCGCTTCGATGCCACAAATCTAAATTCCCTGGCAAAGAGGGCTGGCAGGAGATAATCTAACTGGCAACAGAGGCAGCCAACAAAACTTCACTTCTGGGCTCGTGTGAAAACCTCCCTGAAGTGATGCTCCCTGTATCCCTGTGCCATGCAGCCTGCAAAGTCACACCTGAACCTGGCAGCTGGGAAAGGGCACAGGCACCCTCCAAAAATCCACCTGGGGGCTTGCTGGCCACCCATCCCCAGGCCAGGGGTGGCTCCTGGGTTTTGTTTAGTAAGAATGACCCACGAAGCCTCAATGTCCCTAAAGAAGCCAATTTTCAGAAGGTCCTTCCCCTATGAAGGTGACACCCCGAAGTGCACGTCCCTGATTCCAAACCATGACCAAGGAGAGGTCCTCTTTCAGCAGTCAATACCAAAGACATGTTTTCTTCCACCTCAGTGCCACTCTGGTGACGATAAACAGGACCTCAGGTCATCCGAGAGGATCCGGGAGCAGGGAGGGGATGAGTCATGGCTGGATGGGGATGCAAATGCCAGGTTTGTGACTCACCAGTGATCATCTCCAGTGGGATGGGTGATGCTCCAGGCTGTCATGGGAGCCACTTTGGCCCCCCAGCACAGGGTTTGGGGGTGAAACACCCCTGGAGGTACCAAAAACCTGCCGGGTCCCATCCAAGCCCCTGTTCCAAGAGGGGAGGTCTGCCCAAATAAATGCTGTGGATCTCAAGCTCAACACTTCAAGGTTGTTCTCATGGAGGCACAGTGGCTTTGGGGATGAGGGTGGTTGGAATACAATGATGTCCCCAGCCAGATACAGCATCTGCTTTCGGTGGCTACAAAAAGCTGCTCAATTTAAGGTTTGAACCCAAAACACCTGAACCTTTAAAGCAAAGAGCATCCTGGCTGCTGGGAAAGTTTAAATCCTGCCAACTGACAACATCTGAGAGATCTTTTTTTCTGGCCAAGAGAGATCTGGGGCCAAAAAATCAGCTCTAACAGGAGACAGGGGAAAAGGATGATGTTTTTTTTGTGGCAGACTCACAACTGGGGCCATGCCATGGAACCCCAACCCCACAGATCCCTCAGGCTCGTGGATGGGAGCAAATCAAGGGGGAAGATGATTTCTCCAACCAAAAATCCAGCTGAAAAAAAAGGCATGTGCAGCTGGGCAGGGCGTTTTTCTCCAGCATGATACGGCCACTAGTATTTAAACAAGCTGGGGAAGAATTAAGGCACAGGAACAACGGGGACTTTGGATAAGAAAAGGGAGGAGAACCATGCTGGGCACATTTATCATAAGCCATCAACCCAGCCTTTCATCCCCCTTCCCGACGCCCGGCCACCCGCCGCATGGGAAACCTCTCACTCAGCTAACATGCATGGGGGCCCCCCCAAAAAGTCCACATTCAGTCGGTAGGGGGGAAAATATGGCTGCTTGTGCCATGTGGAGGAACAACTGCTGCTCCTTCTGCCCCGACTATCCAGCACCAACTGCAAAACACCCCAAAAATAAAAGCACTTTCCCAATGGTGCAACCTCCTCACCTCTGGAGAGGCCACCTCTGCTCTGCCCACCCGAGGTGACACTGTGGTCCAGTGACCACAGGAGTAGCATGCACAGGAGATGCTTTTGCATGGGAAAGCAGGAGAGGAGCCCTGCACAGCCAGGATTTCCAGTCCCACAATCAGACAAGCAATAAAACTCCCAGCAGTGACAAACTAATAAATATTTGAGCGTGCGCTCCGCTGACTGCCATCATCATCTCCCTGGCAGACGTCTACAGGGGATTCCCATCTGCCGGCTTCCCTCCTTCCCTCTGGAGGTGGGTGCCTGCTTCCCAGCTCTCTTTTGGGGTTTTGTTTTCCTTTTTTTTTTTTTTTTTGGAAGTCCCAGGCTGTCACCATCCCACAGTCTCACACTGCTTGGGGCATGGTGTTACGGGGCAGTTGGAGCCTTCAGTACTTGAGATGGAGCCTTTGATACTCGAGATGGTTTTTTTGGGGGGGAAAAGGCAAGGGGGAGCAGCTCTTGGCTCAACCTGTGGGGCCAAATCCTGACGCCTTGAGGATGAGTGCGGTGGGAGCAGCGAGGCGGAAAAGGGAGGAGGGGAACAGGCACCGAGGGCTTCTTCTCTCTCCCCATCCCTCATCACACGTTTTAATCTGCCGGGGTTGAGCTGGATTATCCGCAGCATCTGTTCCCCAGGGGGTGACCTGCAGATGTTTGCAGCCAGCGCTTGCAACTCGGTTGATGATCGACTGATGATCCCAAGCAACCCACTCACCCCCTCCACGGGGAGCAGTACTGGAGCCGGGATCCAGCCTTATCCTCCCTCCATCACCCCAAACCTCGGCACAAGGGATGACAAGCCCGGAAAGCAATTCCCCTTGGAAAGCAATTCCCTTTGCAGCAATGGCCGAGCAAACCTCCACAGGAAAGCGTTAAAATCCTCCCTCCTGCAATTGTTATCCCTCCAAATATTTGGAAGATTACAGGAGCATTAGTAGCTGCCCATCACCCACGGCCACCATCCCTCCCTCCCCCGTACCAGGCAGGCAGGGATGCAATGTAAGGATGTAAGGATTAAGCTGGGATGCCTGGGTCCTCCGGCTGGGTTTCTCCGACTAAATCTCAGCGGCAGTGGACGCTTAACCCCTTCTGTCTCCACCTCCCCCCATTCCCATCTGCCTCAGGGCAAGCGCTGTTTCAGGGGAAGGCCTGGGAGGCAACGGTTAAACTTGCCAGGTGGGATAAATTCCTCCTGTAGAAATGAAAAAATATATGGCAGCTTATCTCCAGCACCACAGGAGGAGAGTCATCTGCCTTCCCAATCCCCCTTCCCAATCCCCCAGCAGGGATAGGAATGGCTCTGGCTCCAGAGACTGAGATGGAGGGGATGCTCTGGCCACTGGCTTGGCCAAAGGAGGTGTCTGAAAGGTTGGAGTGGGACTCCCTCCCTCCCTCTCCAAATTCCCCCCCTATTGCTTCCAGGGAGAACTCATTTAGGGATTAGTGCTGTTGCCATTTATGCTCCAGCAGATTTCTATGCTGGAGCCATGGCCTGGCTCACTCCTATCCCAGAATGCCTGCCCCACTGAGGGCATCCCCACTGCCAGCCCCGGAGGGATGCAAAG